CTTGTGCAGGAGGGAAGAATGTTTCTTAAAGATAAAATACACAACAGACATAAAAGTAGTATATGATCCAAGTACTAATACATTTTTTTCTTTTTATAATTACATTCTATCTTAACCAAAATTAAAAGTGAAATGGCTTATTACTGATTGCAAAAGGAGATTGTATCCAAGCTGAAATAAATAGCCCACGACTCGATTTCCCTTGTGGAGAAATAAGCAGTGAGCTTGCTGGTCCTTTGGCCGTCAGGTGTTCCTGGCAGTGGCTGTGGTGTCTCTGAGCTCTGGTCAAGTGCCAGCAGCCAGTGGGAAACCCTGTTTCAGAAAACAGACTGCATGTGTGAATATGATTAGAAATGATGAAAGTTCATAAACTGTATTTTTCTAGAAGATTTATTCAGTGCTGGCCCATGTAGTTCGGTTGGAACGTTGTCTCATACACCAAAAGGGATGGGGTTCGGTCTCTGGTCAGTGCGCGACGGGAAGCAACCAGTCGATGTTTCTCACATCGGTGCTTTTCCCTCTCTCTCAAATCAGTACAAAATTATTATTTTTTTATCCTCACCTGAGGACATTTTTGCATTTATCTTCAGATAGAGTGGGAAGGAGAGAGGGAGTAAGAGAGAGAGAAACATTGATGTGAGAGACACATCGAGTGGCTGCCATCCACACAACCCCAACCAGGGTGTGGGACAAACTGCATCCGAGGTACTTGCCCTTAGTGGGAACCAAACCCGGGTCTCTCCAGTCCACGGGCCAGGGCTCTAACTGCTGAGCCAAACTGGCCAGGGCCAAAATTATTTTTTAAAAAGATTTATTCAGTGTTGCAGGGGGAGTGTAGTAAAAGAAAAACCAAAGTTATTTCCTTTGAAGGAAAAGAAACAAAATTAAATCACCAGGTAAAGGGAAAATGCTGTTTCATCTTTATTTACTTTGACTTTTAGGTTCTCTCTCTCTGCTTTTTCTCCCCACCCCCAGCTTTATTGGGATGTAACTGACACGTAACATTGTGTAAGTTTAAGGTAGGCAATGTGTTGATTTGGTACATTTATTAATTGTGAAGTGATCACCACCATAGTGTTAACTACCGCCTCTGTCCTGTCACTTAGTTATTGTGGTGATAACATTTGGGATCCACTCTCTTAACAATGTTCAAGTATATATAATATATGATACAGTATTACTAGCTGTAATTACCATGCTGTACATTAGATCCCCAAGCTTGTTAATTTCATAACTAGAACCTTGTACCCCTTGACCAGTGTCTCGATCCTTGGTCACTGCGTGACGAGAGGCCTCCTCCCTCGAGCCTGGCAGCCGCACTTGTGCTCCGTTTCACTGCGTTTGTCTTGTTACATCACACATATGTGAGATTAACAGTGTTTGTCTTTATCTGTCTAAACTTAGCATGATGACCTCAAAGGTCCATCCAAATTGTTGCAAATGATAGATTTTCTTTTCTCATTGATCAGTAATATTTTATTTTGTATATAATCATGTCTTCTTTATCCATTCATTAATCAGTGGACACGCGGGTTGTTTCCATATCCTGGCTATTGTGGTTCGTGCTGCAGTTAACATGGGGGTACAGATATCTTTACAAGATCTTGATTTCAGTTTCTTTGGATAAATACCCAGAAGTGGAATTGCTGGATCATATGATAGTCTCATTTTTAATTTATTGAAGAACCTCTATATTATTTTCCATAGTGACTTCACCAGTTTACATTCCCACCAATAGTGCATAAGAGTTCCCTTTTCTTCACATCCTCACCAACACTATTTCTTGTCTTTTTATTGACAGCCATTCTAAATGGGGTGAGGTGGTATATCATGATTTTTATTTGCATTTCCCTGATGATAACTGATGTTGAACACCTCTTCATCTACCTGTTGGCCATTTGTATGTCTTTAGAAAACTCTCTGTTTAGTTTCTCTGCCCATTTTTAAAATCAGGTTGTTAGGTTTTTGCTGTTGATTTGTATGAGTTCTTTACTTCTTTTGAATATTAAGCCCTTGTCAGATATATGATTTACAACTATTTTCTCTCATTTCATTTGTTGCTTTTTCATGTTGTTGATGGTTTCTTTTGCTGTGAAGAAGCTTTTTAGTTTAATGTAGCCCCACGTGTTCATTTTTGTGCTTTCTTTGCTTGGGCTTTTGCTTCTTATCCAGGAAATCACTTCTGAGACCCATGCCAAGGAGTTTTTCTTCTGTTCTCTTCTAGAACTTAGTTTCAGGTCTTACACTTAATTCTTTAATTCATTTCAGGTTTATTTTTGGGAGTGGTGTAAGATAGAGGTCCAATTTATTTTTCTGCATGTGCTTACCCAGGTTTCCCAGCACCATTTATTGAAGAGACTCTTTTCCCTGTTGAGTATTCTTAGCTCCCTTGTCAAATATTAGTTGACTATGTGTGAGTTTAGTTCTAGGCTCTTGATTCTGTTCCGTTGGTCTTTTATCTATTTTTATGCCAGAATCATACTGTTTTGATTACTATAGCCTTGTAATATAGTTTGAAATCAGGAATATTATGGCTCCAGCTTTGTTCTCAGGATTGCTTTGACTATTCAGGGTCTTATACGGTTTCATAAAAATTTTAGGATTTTTTTCCTATTTCTGTGAAAAATGCCACTGGTATTTTCTTAGAGATTGCATTGAATCTGTGTATTGATTTGGGTAGTATGGACATTTGAATAATATTAATTCTTCTAATCCATGAATTTGGGATATCTCTCCATTTGTTTGTGTCTTCTTTAATTTCTTTAATCAGTGTCTTGTTATTTTTCTGTGTAGAGGTCTTTCATTCTTTGGTTAGATTTATTCCTAAGTATTTTATTATTTTTGATGCTATTGTAAATGAGATTGTTTCATTTCTTTTTCAGATGTGTTGTTAGTGTATAGAAATGCAGCTGCTTCCTGTATGTTGATTTTTGTATCCTAAAATTTTACTGAATTTTTGATTAATTCTATAAGTTTTTTGGTGGATTCTATAGGATTTTCTAAATATAAGATCATATCATCTGCAAAGACAGTATCACTTCTTCCTTACCTATTTGGATGCCTTCTATTTCTTTTTCTTGTCAGATTGCTCTGGCTAGTACTTTCAGTGATATGTTAAATAGGAATGGTTAAATCATCTCATTCCTGATGCTTGAGGGGAAGCTTTCAGCCTTTCACCATTGAGTATGATGTTAACTGTGGGCTTGTCATACATGGCCTTTATTATGTTGAGGTATGTTCCTCCTATACCAAGTTTGTTGAGCATTTTTATCACAAAAGGATGTTGTTCTTTGTCAAATACTTTTTCTGTATCTATTGAGATGAATATGATTTTTAGCTTTCATTCTGTTAATGTGGTATATCACACTTAATGGTTTGCATATGTTAAATCATCTTTGCATCCCAGTAATGAACTCCAGTTTATTATGCTTAATGAATGATCCTTTTAATGTGCTATTGAATTCTGTTTGCTAGTATTTTGTTGTTTGCATCTATGTTCATTAGGGATGTTGGTCTGTAATTTTCTTTTCTTGTAGTTTCCTTATCTGGCTTTGGTTTCTGGGTAATGCTTTCTTTGTAAAATTAGTTTGGGAGTATTCCCTTCTGTTCAGTTTGTTTTTGTTTTTGTTTTTTGGCAGAGTTTGAGAAGGATTACTGTTCATTCTTCTTTAAATGTTTGGTATAATTTACCAGTGAAACCATCTATGTGGCCCTGGGCTTTTCTGCTTGAGGAGGTTCTGATGACCAATTTAATTGTTTTACTTCATATTAGTCTGTTCAGATTTTCTGTTCCTTCATGATTTATTCTCAGTAATAAGTTGAATGTTTCTAGGAATTTATTTATCTCTTCTGGGTTATCTAGCTTGCTGGCATATAATTAATTGTTCATAGTCATTTCTCATGATCCTTGATCCTTGGTATTTCTGTGGTATTAGTTGTATCCTTTTTCATTTCTGATTTTATTTATTTGAGTTCTCTCTGTTATTCTGAATTTATTTAGTTAAAATTTGTCCATTTTGTTTCTCTTTTTTAAAAACAGCTCTTAGTTTTATTGATCTTTTCTGGTTTTTTTAGTTAGGTTCTCTTATTTTAGCTTTGAGAATAGAAAGCTTCATTTGTCGAAGGAGCACTTTCTACAAATGAGAAGGATGATTGGTAGTACTGCTGTTTCAGCAACCTCTTTAATGGGGTCTACCCTTTAATTTTCAAAAGCCTTGGCCCTTTAAGTGGGAGTTTAAAAAAAAAATGACCCTTTGTGACTAAATGCCACTACCAGTGTCATGGGCAAAGCCAAGATCAGTGTTTTTCAAACTTTTGACCATACCCACCATAGCAAATACATGTGACATTAGGATCCAGTAAACACATGTAAGTCACAGCTAAAAATTGCAAGAAATAATACATAATTCTAGTTATGTACAGTGCACTACTCTGATGCTCTTTATTCCATTTTATTCTGTGTTATTCTATTCATAGGCCATTGCAGGACGTTTTGGTTTGGTTTTGCATTGCATTGTTTCTACACTGAGGGTCCTAGTTGCGTCTGACCAGGGCCGACAAGGGGCAGCAGAGGGCCCTGTCAGAGCTAACTGACGGGCAGTGCCACCCACCCCGCAGCCTCCCACCGCCACCCAGCATTTGTATTCATTCTTCGTTTCCCTGCAAACGCTCCTCCCAGCTTTTCATGTGACCATATCTTTGTTCTGCACACACTGCCACTTTGTCTGTGGGCCTGCCATGTAAGCCCTCATCTCTGCTCTGGGCGCTGATTGGGTGGTGGCCAGCGGCCTTCCCATAGCCAAAGGATAAAGGGGAGAGGAGGCTGAAATCAAAGTTTTAGGAAAGGCCTGGACTCTGTGCACAAGAAGCCTGTGCCTGGGGAAGGTTGGGGTGGCGGTGATGGCGCCCTGTGGCTAGAGAGTGTGCCAAGGCCAGGGAGTCAGGTTCAGAATTACGGAGTTGTGCTCACTCCCCTTTTCCCTGCCTCTTGCTGCCTGCAGGTAAATTCTACTGCAAACCACACTACTGTTACCGACTCTCTGGCTCCGCGCAGAGGAAGAGGCCAGCAGTGACCCCTCTGTCTGGAAAGGTAATGGGAATCCATCTCTTAGTGGGGGAGAAACAGCAGGTACCCTTTGTTTCAGTGTTGTAGCAAGTCACTGTGTAGCCAGCAGGGCCTGCTGAGTGGCCACTGAATGGCCCTTCCTGTGGGTGGGAAAGGATTGCTTGAAGGGTGGTTGTAGTCCATTTCGGGGAGGGAACCAACTGCCCAAGCCTCATCTAATGCTGCATTTCACTGAAGTGATGTTCTGCCCACCTGCTGAGTTGGATTTGGAAGACTGTGTCAGACCCTCCGTTCTGCTCGCTCTGTGTAACAGAAGACTTTCACCTTGGTAAACGAGCACCTCTCTGAGAAAGGGGCTGGGCTGCAGACAGTCTCTCTGCCCGCCAGGCCTTTGCACTTTCCTTCTGGAAAGTGCCTTTCTCCTTTCTCTTTTTTAAAATGAGAACAACTAGCTCTGCCCTCTGTCTCATCTCCATGATGTCACCTTGTCAGGGAGCAGGCTAGCTACTGCTTCCTTGGGAGGCTCCTGTTCACTGCAGAGGGACTTGTAGCAAGAGGCATACTGGGATGGAGCTGGATTTTGACTCCTCATGATTCCACATGAAATGTGTCCTGGTTTTTTTGGATTTTTAATCCTCACCTGAGGATATTTTTCCTATTTTTTTTTTTTTCCAGATAGAGTGGGAGGGAGAGAGAGAGAAACATTGATGTGAGAGAAATACATCGATTGGTTGCCCTCCCATACAGCCCTATGGCCAGGGATCAGACCTGCAACTCTTCGGTCTGCGGGCCAACACTCTAACTGCTGAGCCAAAACACCAGGGTTGTCCTGGTGTTTCGTTGTTATTGTGTTTTGTTTTGTTTTGTTCCTTTATTAATTTTATAGAGAGAGGAAATGAGAGGAAGAGGAAGAGATAGAAACATGGATGAGAGAGAACATCGATTGGCAGCCTCCTGCACGCCCCCCACTGGGGATTTGGCCCACAACCTGGGCATGTGCCCTGACCAGGAATGGAACTGGCAGCCTCTTGGTGCATGGGTTGATACTCAAACACTGAGCCACACCAGCCAAACTTTTGTTGTTGTTTTTTAATATATGTTACTGATATTTTAGAGAGAGAGGAAGGGCGAGAAAGATAGAAACATCAATGTGAGAGAGAAACATGGAGCTGCTGCCTCCTGTACGCGCCCCACTGGGGATCGAGCCCACAGCCCGGGCATGTGCCCTGACTAGGAATCGAACCGGGACCTCTCAGTCCATGGGACGATGCTGAATCCACTGAGCCACATCAGCCAGGCTGTTCTGGCTTTATAAGGAAAGAAAGATTTACTGTGAGGAATACAGTGGGTTGACTGGTGAGAGCAACAAAACAACCAGTCAGGTGTCATTGCCTCCTGAGATTTGAGTCCTTCAGTCAGTCACTTCTATTTCTTGTGGACTTTCCTAGGAGGCCAGAGGACCCCTGCAGGATGGCGCCACTGCAGACGCAAATAGGCGGGCCAGCACCATCACCAACCCTGCTGATAGAACTCCAGGTAGCCTCACTTCCTTGTTTGGCTGGGTGGCACGTCACTCTCTTGGCCTCTGCGACAAGGCCAGGGGGATGAGCCAGCACCTCCAAAGCAACATTTCTTCGATTGGGCATCAAGTGGCCCAAAACCCTTTGGACTCCTTTTTCATGTGCCAGCTGCTTGCATTCGGAGTCCCCTTTCTCTATGGCCTGTCGGAGGTGCTGGTACAAATCAGAGGGGAGTTTCACTGGCAGACCGTGGGCCAGTAGGGGTGCCATCTGCTAAGCACTGTCACCAAGCTTTGTAATGCTGCTCAGTATCTCAAGGTATTGCTGTAGCGTGGGGCCTGCCCACCTCCATCAAGTACAGGGGGTGGGTACGCCAGGCTCTGTCATCGACCCTGGTGAGGATTCAGTTACTGAGCCTTCTTACAGTTCAGTTTGGAACTCTCGACACAGCATGGAGTTGTGATAAGACCCTGTGATCTGGATTTGCCTTCACCTGAACTTGAAATTCTTCCATCCCATTCCTATTTAGGTATCTAGAGGAACTGACACTCTCTTCTGTTTGACCTGTGGCCACTAAAGGACATGCCCTGTCCTGGTCACTTGGGCCGTTTGAACTTCTAACAAGGACTGAGCCCTAACTGGTCCCCACTCTCGCTAACCATGTCCTTGTGTAAGGAGGTGAAGAACACCACTCTTCCTCTAAACACATTCTTCCCGCACTCTGCAGGGCACTGGCCTCATGGGCACTAAGCTTGTTGTGAAGAATTGTGTTTTTTCCCCTTAAAATAGCCTCTTTCTCTGCTCTGTGTCAAACCAGCCTGTGAGACATGCGCACAGTTCCATAGCCTGATGCCTCAGCACAGGCCAGACTGTGCCCAGCCCAGGTCACCGGGAGGGAGAGGGGAAGTCAGCAGGGCCACCTTTCTGTCCGTCACACATCTCCTCTCGTTCACAGCAAATGTATCTAAAGCAGCCATTGACAAACTCATAAAAATTACCACTTAAACAGTAAAGATTATTAGCTAATACCAGAAACTAAAGAGAAGCAGTTGGGGTAGAAAAGACAAGAATGACCCAGTCAGCCTTCAAATGTAAGGTCCCCAGGGTTACTTCTTTCCCCAGGTATAAGAGCAAATGTGAATCTCGTTCATTCTGGGGGGGAGAAGGTACCAGGCGTGGATGATACCCCTGGTCCAGTGGAGGCTAAGACACAGCTGAGCCAGATGATCTCAGCTCCTTCTACAGCGTGTGCCCTTATTATAACTTGGGGAACTTTTTAAGTGCCCTCCAGGTTGGACCCACGTTTTATAGCAATGTTTAAGCCATGAATGACTTTGAAAGCTTCTGTAGCCTTGAAACCCTTTACAGTCTGTCTCTGTCATGACGTGTCAATAGCCCTGCAGAACCAGGGGAGTGACAGAGAAAAATAACCTAAGGGTCCTGGCCGATTTGGCTCAGCGGTTAGAGCGTCAGCCTGCGGTCCGGAGAGACCCGGGTTCGGTTCCCGCTAAGGGCATGTACCTCAGTTACAGTTTGTCCCCGGCCCTGGTTGGGTCGTGTGGGTGGCAGCCACTCGATGTGTCCCTTTCACGTCGATGTTTCTCTCTCTCTCTCTCCCTCCCACTCTATCTGAGCAAAATAATGAAAAATGTCCTTGGGTGAGGATAAAATAAATAAATAAATAAATAAATAAATAAATAAATAAATAACCAAAGGGATCTAGACCGAAGTTTGGGCTCTGCGCTCGAGAATGTGCGTTTGACCAGGTCTTAGTCCAGCATGGACTTTCCAAGGAACCTAGCTGCTCAGTAAAACAAGTCAAAGAAATTAAACTTTCTTTTGGGGTATAGAGTACAGAATCTTCTTTAAAAGGAATAAACGCAGTGAGGTTTAGGTTGTTCCTGAGTAAGCTGCGTGTATTCACTTTTCCTTCTGGTTCAGTTTGCCATCTTTTGTCTGGTTGGAAAGCTTAATGGAGTCCGGGTTTGTAGGACTGGTACAGAATTGAGGGTTCCGCAGGGAAGGAGAAGAACACACAGCAGGGAGAGAAGGTGAGGTTGGTTAGGCAATCATATCCTTTGCAAACCGATCCCCAGTCTTGATAGAGGAAGACAAAGGGTGCGAGTTGGCCATGTGGTTAAAGAATCAGAGCGACCACAGAATAATCGAAACCCTGAGGAAAAGTCAGTCCCCATGGTTCTTGATTCTGAAGGTGACGTGCCTGTTATAGCACAAGGGGTTCAAGAGGTGGCATCCCAAAGAACGAGGCAGGCACTGTCCCCAGGCTAAGGGACCCTCGGTGGCAGGAAGGCCGGGGCTCGGGGCTGACGAGAAGCAGTTAGAACCTGCCTCTGGAGACGCACGCTTTGGGACATCACAGCCTCCAGAGCAGTGGCACTTGCCCTGGGCGGGGTCTGGTGTCGCTGGCCTTCCAGGAAAAGAGCAGAATCACGGGCGGTCTTCTGTGGTTGCCTGAAGAGATATTTTCCCCCTTTGATAGGGATTTCCTTCTTTATATCCCAAATTAAGCATTGATTGGTTCACTGACATTTCCGTTTGAAAAGCTTCAGGAAACAGGTGCTTCAGCATTCTGCGTGTGTGTCATAGGTAGCGGTCATTGACCCAGGTCCATGCAGGTCTTCTCTGCTGTGCTCGAGATAAGAAAAGGCTGTACTGAGTGACCTTGATTCTGCCTGGTACACACACACCATCCTCCTGACCCGCACTCCCAGGGCCAGAGCTGGCACTTGACCCTGCTCTGCTTGTTTTTTGTGCTGCCTCTTTATCCTGTGGCATTTCTCTCCTGTCCCTTAGTCCTTTCCTCATGTGCCAAGCAGCAAGCACCGCCCACAGTGCCGCCTGTCCCTGGCAGCCTGGTCCGTAACCGCTGCCGGCTCTGTCTGCAGGGCATTGTTCAGTGTTGTTGCTATGTGCGTTTACTACAGAAATCCTCTTTTCTGTTCTCAGAATCTGTAACTGCTTCATTTCCAAGCTTCTTATACTGAACTGCAATAGATTAGTGGGCCTGGCACAGATTTTCCTCTCCTGGGCTCATGGTACCCACCCTGACCTCAGGAACATTTTGGACAACGGTAGGCAGAGAAAGAAAAACCCCAAAAGCGATATTTTCCTCCAGAATGCAAGACCTTGAATTGCAGGTTTGGGTCCTTTTTTGTCCGGAGGAGACCCCTCTGCATCTCGTATAGTTGATAACCAGGAGTGAGCGTGAGGCCGTGGGTGTCGTCACAAGACACGGAGGATCTTGTCTTCTAGGCCAGGCCCAGAGCTGGGATGGGACAGACATGTGGCTGTCTCGTCCAATGGAAAAGCATCCCTAACTTACACAGGTGCCCGGCAGAGTAACACCAGGCAGGTGCCTGCTCCCGTCCCCAGACACCCGCGGCATGATCCATTAGGGCTCATAGTTCGGATGCTGAGTGGGCGTGAGGAAATGCAGGCATTTCTCCGCACACCAGCCAGAATAGCCACGCTGTACAAGAAATTCCATTCGGCCCTGGGGCTCCTCTCTGGCGGGAGGAACTTAGGAAATCTCACTGTAAATTCCTTAGGGGCATTTTTGGAAAAACTGTTAGTAGAGCAAAGAGGTGTTACAATCCAGCTTAACAGCCCAACTATACCCCAAGAGTCATAGTTAATGGTGATGTGGATATTTATTTATATACACATATCTATTTATATAGGTTTAATTTCATATATATGAGTAGATATTTATATATTGTGATCTAAATAATAATAATAATGAAGCTGAGTTTTTAAAAATGTTTTTATCAATAAGACAGAAACATGAATAGGCTGCCTCCTGCAGGCCCCCTCGTGAGGAATCTCGAGCCTGAAACTGGGGTGTGTGCCCTGACCAGGAGCTGAGCCACTGAGCCACAGCAGCTGGGGAACACTGACGCTGCTTCCACAGCGTCTCATTCCTTGGTTCTGGAAACCGAGGTGTTATCCTCTGAGAGCCACTGGTCTGGCTCAGTGCTCGGGTCAGACTGGGAGGGGACACAGCAGCTAGCACACCTGTGGACATGCAGCTTGGGGCGGGTAGCTCAGAAAATGGGCAGTACACACTCCCAACCTCAGGAATTTGACTCGAGCAAACTAGGAAAGCATGGGTTCTGCTGCTCATGAAACACCACCGAGAACCAGACCCCACCTTGCCTCTGCTTCCTCCCAGGCCCAGCCACCTGCCCCACTGGCTAGTCACTGCAGCTGGCTGCTGTCTCTGCAGGGCAGTGGGACACCCCTCCTAAAGAGGCCCAGAGTGGCTGTGAAGGTGTGACCAGTGCATTAGCGGGCCCCCTTTCCCTGCCACCAGCGTGGGCAGGGTGGGGCAGGCAGCAGGCCGGCCCCTAACAGTGGTGCAGAGCGGCCTGTGCGGGGGGAGTGAGCCCGGGGCATGTCCCGTCTACCTCTGGCCTTCTCTGAAGCCTTTATTTTGCCCTTGTTTCTAACCTGTGCTGTTGTGAGTTTTTTGTGTGTCTCTTTGTTAGTTTTTTTATTTCATTGTGTAACTTTGTTTTTGCAGTTTCTGTGAAACTAAGGTGTTGTGCTTTTAATTTTTTTTAACCAATGTTACCGTTCTTATTTAAGAGAATAAATTCCAAACAATCTTCAGGTTTCTGAGTTTTTCTTTTCCTTACCTTTTTCCTGATCGGAGGGTGGGAAAGGGGGTAGCTCAGGCTGGTCTTGGAGTGGGCTTGGGGCCACCATGAAGCAGGGTGGGGCGGGGCAGGGAGAAAGCAGAGTGTGTTAAAACGAGGAAGCAGGGTATTTGCACCTGAAATACAGGTTCTCGTGAATGGCAGGGCCCTGTAGCGGCCGGCCGTGGGCAGGCAGAGCAGGAAACGTGCCCCTTGCCCCATGTTGGTCAGCCAGCATGAATGGCCTGAGGGCGATGGCAGATGGAGGGGTGGACATCCTCCACCGAGTGGCGTCTACCGTGGGGACACAGCCTGTTCTGACGCTAGCCGGCTGCCGGGGGGGGGGGGGGGGGCTGGG